AATTTATTAGTGACTCAAAATGAATAAATTAATTTCAACCTGAAGTCAAAAGACTGTATATATGAAACACTAAATATCGTGCTTCCAGTTCATAACTGTTGAGTGAATGATTTCACAAACTTCTAATTGTCACTACTTACCTCATGAAAATTTATTTGAGAATTAGTGCATTTTAGAGCTAGAGATGTACAAGGAATAACTTTACTTTTATGAATCCCTTCATCAGTAAAGGACTTTAGCTGCTCATGTTTTCTTTTATTTTATTTCTTATTTGAAATTAACTATCTCTGATGCTCGAATAGTTTTATACGTAAGAACATTTTATCGACTGGACGACTAATTTCTCTTCTCACATGATATACAACTGAATAACATAATAAGTAGGAAACCACACTTAATATGATAGTCCTTTATTCCAGTTTATCATAAAATGCTATCAGCAATGAATTTTAATACTCAGACTTACGTTTTAATATGATGAGATCAGTGTATGTGCTTGGAATGATTCAATGCTCAATCTACATAGTGTAACGTGACATTATTCTGCTTTACTTATGTTAACATGTGAGGAATATAGTTCCATATTTCTTGGTAGGGGGCCGTACAGATTTTTCGATTTCATTGAAGCCACGAACTGATTTAAGTTAGGCCAACACCGAGAACCTGGAAGGACTGGACAGACATTTCGTCATAGTGTGGAACTCATCAGCAGTGCCTATCGACGACCCTTTAGGATTTCAATGAAGTTCAACAATCTCCATAACTCCATAATCACAGTTATCATGCCTTCACTAGTAACTAGCTTCGAAAGGAAACTTTTGAAGTTGGTCAATAGATTAAGCGAGACTCAAATACTTGATTCGATTACCGCATCTCTGAGGAGTCCCATCCTAGGACGAAAAGGACGTACGGTGCTCCTTCCTTCTCAATGACGGTCTCACTCAGATCGGTTTAGAATTTCAATGAATTTCCATACTGATTGTTTTGAGTGACAAATTAATCATCTTACCGAAAAACATCAACTAACCACTTGACCGTAGCCGTGTTATCCTATATGCCTTACAGGAATTCTATGTCATCTTTAGTCGTGTTTATTTTCTCAATGTGAAGGTGACCTGGTCATTTAAACCAAATAATTCTGATTTAAATGTATTGAGATTTTGTTCAAGTTACAGTGTATGATAAAATGAGGCCTGATTAACCGGTTTTGCTTATAATAGTTTTGGTTCGTGATTTTGTCGGTATGGTAGAAAGAACAGCTAAAAACGGGTTAAATATTTGACACCAAACCATTTAGTAAATTATATTAACTGTGTTTCAGTGGTTCGCTCAGTTAGAATAATGAAGAAAAGTGAAAATGCACATCTCTTTATAAGTCCATATGAGACAAAAATTTTTGTAATTGCCACTCATTCAGAATTAGTATCTAAATGACTGGATCTCGTTTTTTCCTGACTTATTCAAATTTGAATAAGACAGTGTGTGGTGTGTGCTACTGATGTCCACAGATATAAGTAGTGTGTATCATCAATCGAAAGTGAAATACTTGGTGACAGGTTAAGGAGATCGAAGAAAAGAGAACGATTAGTGAGAAAATGAAGGAACAATCAAGTCTGAAACAACTGATTGAGATTTTGCGAATGAAGTATTTTATACATAGTTCTCAGACTTTACTAAGAGATCATGTAATTTTGTGCTCAAGTACATTTGGCTGTCCCCATTTGTGTTCTCGTTCACTACAAGGGGATATCGATTAAATGATCGATTTCAAAGTAAAGGTTGCATGAGAAAAATTAGATCTGGAATTCACATTTACTATATTAGCCTCACTTTCAAGTCCTCTTATATAATAAAAGCTATATGTTGTAAGGTTATATGAGTGATTAAACTCGATGTAAACATGTAGTAAATGAATTTCATTACGTAATACGAGGGGATTACCAGCTTGAACAAATCATGGTCAAAAGACGGACAAACGCAGATTCAAGACAACATGAATAACTCGCTTTTCAAAACATATTATCCGAAATAAAATCTTCCACAATACAATCAGTTATAGTTATTCACTTAATTTATGATTAAGACAGTGGGACAACATGATCCTTTAGAGTGATAAGCGACTGGTTGAGTATGATTACGTATGAAAAACTACTAGACAGAGTTCAACAGCATAAGTAGGTAAGCTATAGTGATAAATCAGGGTTTAATGAGAATCTTAGTAAATCACTTATCCCAGAAATTTATTCAGTAACATCAGAGAGAAATCCTCCAATCGGTAACAATTTGTAAACAGTTTAATGAGTTATTGGGAAGGAACAACAGAGATGGATAGTCAACAAACTAAAGGATGGCACACGGTAATAAGTCGTTTGTGCATTATTCAGTCAAACAGTTCGTCTCCACGTGGACAAACATGTGACTGCAATAACATGCTTCCATAGATTGTTTAAGTCGCGTTGAAGCTACCAAGCTAAGGTAAAACACTTAGAATTTACTAAATTACCATTTCGTTGAGTTCAAAAGAGAATACCTGATTTATTTGTACATTTTTGACCAGAAATATAAGTAGTTATGGGGTTCACTTACATATGTTCATGGAGATCTGTCCTCACAATACTATTATGTGACCATTAAACTTAGTCTAAAACCTGGTGAACCATCTGTTTCCTTTGGAGATGTGTAAGACTCAGTTGTGTAAGATTGTGAGCAAAAGTTGGGACAGTACACGGCGTCATTAGTGAGGAATAGCTTCATCAATGTTGGTGAGCGCCAATAAATACGAGCTCAATGCAAATGTTTTTGATTGACTTAACATGACTTGTTACAGCTAAGAAATGATTATTTAAATTCCACATTAACTATGTTATTAAAGTAGTTTGAATCTTGGTGGGTAGATTATGGAGAACAGTTTAGTGTGGCGAGAGCTATTGCAAAATTGTGTCTACCAAAAATAAGAAAATATCGGTAAGCTGTTTCGTCCTGGCTTGAAACTCCTCAACAGTGTCCATCGACCATAATATTTATCCGTTTTTTAGTTGAAATACATTAAACAAGTAACGTGTATGCACAATTGTGCAACTTGAAAACATATTTTGGAGCTAAGTGACCTCATCTCCCCTTTACATTAATTAAACTTAGGACGTCATTTCCTAGATAAGAAAGCAAAATTGTCGTAATTCTATGTGCATAAGACTTCCTAAGGTGAAAAATATTTGTCTCGTGTACTGAGAATTTTTTAAAATGCAATCACAGTTGCCTGTATCAGTGGAATACTTACAATAATTTCCTACCATAGGGATAGACTTATTGCTCATAAAGCCGAATATCTGATAAAATTGATGACAAAAACATACTCCCAACATTAATCATAGATATATTTTTGTTATATCCAAATGATTTATAACAAAAATATATTAATTATTAACTTTCTACCCAATGCTCAATTTATTTGAAACTATCAATTCCAACCTTGGTATTGATATCTATATACTCCTAGCATTATTAGTACAGATATATTCTTTGTGGACTGATATCGAAAAGCAGATTCTGTAAATACTTGCTTTCTATTCTACTCGCTATGTTGATTTCCTTATCATTCCACTCTTTTAGATATGTACTCGTTTCCTGGATAATTTAAATGTTGTAAGCGAGAAGAATAAGACACTTTAAAGTTGTTGAAGTCAATATCCAGATCTAGAATATTTATATTAAAATAAGTAGGATATCTTTGATATGGGATTTATCCTCAATATATTTCTATAAGTTAACCTATGAAAATCATTTTTACACGTAGTTTTAATACTTCTTTATTTACTACATTTTAAATCATGCAGCAGAGTCCATTGTGATGAATCATAACAATTGCAGATTTTAGCTAAATAAACTCAATTAAATATAGCGTAATTTATTCTGTGATAAAAAGCACAAATTTTGTCCCGAAAAATGGTATAACTGAGAGCGAACAGACCATAGGGTAAAATCATAAAACCCTTCTGAGGAAATGTAAAAAGTCAAGAAGACATACAGGAACTAACTAACCCAGCATACAGTTACGTCAAAAAAGGAAGCATTCTGGAAGAATAGACAATTATACTGTGGTACTGATAGGAGAATAAATTATAATGAGTGCTTGGAAAGATTTATCTCGAGTGTTTTTCTGTTTCTCGAATTAGTAAACCAGTTTATACTTTTAAAAATCCATATGAAAACTTTCATTACCGAATCTTAACCTAGATTGACCGGCAATACATCAAAAAATACAAACACTTGCAACACAAAACCACACAGGTATATTCAAGTGGGCTCCTTAGTGGCCGATTATGTACAAATATTCTCGTGAGAACCCAGAGGGAATCCCAAGTGAGATATAACTAGTGAGCCACCCAAGCTGAGTCAGTCGATATCTAGCTTGGTCGATAGGTTCTTCCACATTTGAATATCAAAGCCCGGAACGGCCTATGTTGACTTTAAGCGTTGCATGTGGAGAACATTAAGAGCCTTTGGATGAGGCCTCAAACATATTCAATTGGTTTTGACAATAGTTGTAGAGCCAATGATCCTCACTGTCCACACACTCACGGATGACTTGTAGGCGTATTTCACACATATACGAAATGAGATCATAAACTTATCAACAACAGGCGCGAATCATAGAGAAAAAGATAATCTAAAGTCAGTTTTTAAAATTACCACATTTAGATACGTTAAATGTAATGCATTAGTACCAAGACGTCAAATTAAAAATCCTAAACCTCACGATTTAACCACATTGATACGGTCTACAAAACAAAAAACGGAGGGATCCATTAAAATCTTTTTGAGCTGAGTAAAACCTTATGAACCCATGAGGGCAAGCTTTTTTTACATATGATAAATAAGCAATGTTTTACAGGGATTAGTAGACACCATTAAAGTGATTAACAGTGTCAAAAGTTTGCAATACGACTTTGCAAATACAATTTATTTCGTCTTCTGTATTCGAGAAAGGCACTTGACAGGCCTTAATATGCAGTATTGACTTTATCTACAATTAGTTTGCATAGCGGATCCAGCTCCCCATCACCTCCTGAAAATTTTCCTAAACTGAGAAAAACAAATTATTTTGCATACCAAACTGAAAATCAGTAATTTTGCAGTGATGAACAACCTCTTCATTAACTTTTATTTCGGTGATTTCATAAAAGTCACTCAAATCGTGGAGATAAGTAGTATGTCCCTCTTTCGACAATTGTTCTAGGTCACATAACGTTGTTCTAAAATTTTGAAAGTACCTTGAAGTCCCACCAATCGGTGTTTTCTATTTTTGCATATTCCTGCAACAGGGTATTTCCCGTGCCATATATGGACTTCTGCATTTCTTGGCATTTAGTGTGTAGTCGTTTACAGGTTTACGTACTGTCTAGTGGTATGTGGTTGACGACGGGATGACGAGTGTGAGTAGGAATCTGGGAGAGAAAGACAAGGGAAAGTGTGAGTAGACTCCACAGTGAACTTGGTACGCATTTATGCACACGGGATAGTTACACTTAATAATAAAGCAATCAATAACAATTAGCAATGACGTATGCATGAAGTTGAAACTGGTATATCTAACTAAGAAAACAATAACAGAAAAATCCGAAGGCGTAAAATGTACGTAGGTTGGAACTAAAGTACAGAGCCAGACAAATCAACTTTCAGATTGTGCCTCTTGAATTCTTACATGATATCCATTCACTTTATATGCTTATTTAGGGTTCTCGGATTATGAGTGATGTCAGTTCATGATGGAAAAACAACTGTAGTTTATTATCCTGACTCGTTACCTTAACTCTTAATCTCAGTTCCTAACCTCATTTTGAGCGGGGTAAGGTGTAATTATTTCGCAATTATTCCGAGAACCGCTCAAGATCATCCTCGTACTTGATTTCTATCACAAATATTTGAAAAAATATGTATTGTGTAACTCCCTTAGATACCTGGGAGTGGCATTGGAGTAAATTCTTCAGTGATATTACACGTTCTAGTTTGATGAATGTTCAACTACAGTTGACATGGACGTGGCTGAAATCTAGGATAAAATCAGTCAAGTTTAATATGTAAAGTTCAGGTTAATGAACACTACAGTGTTATCAATGGCGGACTAGCGTGTTCTACTTATAAGTGTTTATAAATAAGTTCTATATAAGCAGAAACGTTGCTGTCAACCACTGTTGAGACTAGTTTTGTGGTTGATTAGATCATATCTTGAAATGAAGTACGTCCTAGATTCGCAAACCTGCATGCTGTTCTGCAGAACATGTCATCAGTAATATCAGACTTCAGTACCAACGTTATGCAGCTCATGTCTCAGTCTCAGTCCGATAGGCAAGATAGTCCACGGAAACGTGATATGGGACTATGAACTTTGAATTTCCCCTTGTCATCTGGAGAGAAAATGCAGGCGCTAGATGAATGTCTTTGGTAAAACACATGAGGGACAAACTTATTAGTCTACAAAAACCGTTGGATTGTTACTTTACATTGTAAATGGCCACGCTGATGCGGTTGATGGTTGATAATCCCGAAACATCCGTGGGCTATATCTTGTCATACATCATGAAACCTGAAGCGGCCAGCTCCTTCACGCTTCATCAAAATGAGCACGCCAGACGTGCAGGTTTTGTGGCAGAACATGAAGTGCTTATTAACCTTTAGGCACACGGACACTACGGTCTTTGTGTGGTGTTTGTATGAACTAATGATTCCTTTGTACTTGATGACTGCTTGATACAATACGTTCAGTCGTGCTTATCTAATACTTCTTGGTGAAATTGCGTTATTGATGAGATTCCTTGTTTGTACTACAATCCAAATACTACTAATCATCATACTTCATCATCAACTGTCATTGAAAAATACCTCGTGAAATTGTATGACATGGCGACGCAAGGACATTTCCAAGACATGAGATAAACAATGAAGGCGTTATAGAGAGAGGATAGATAATGCAAGTAAGAATTTGAGATGATGACTTTTCATTGTTGCCTTATAGGTGCAGTGTTCGGTGTTAACGAACATTATCGTGTCTCCCTTTATGTTGTCAGTTGGTAATAAAAAACAAATATACCAGTCCAGCATTGTTGTAAATAATAATTTTTATTATATCTCAGGATCCACAGGATGATTAATATGGTTCTGAATAGTAACAATGAAGTTCCAAAGAGACCCATTTTTCTAATAAAGTGTTTTTACTATGCATTCACTTCCTCACTTATATGTGCTACATCGAGACAAATTAAATGTATGTAGTGAGAGCGTGCATGATTTTATATGGAGTTGATACTCAGAACACATTCTTAGTAAATAACTCATTTCCTGTTACTTACAATCTTTTCGAAGATCTTCTTAAATGACTATAAGAATTAGCATTTACAATGAAAATGTATGGTGAGCATGTAGGGCCAGTCAAACGTCACTGGGTCCTAGCCAAATCATCTGACAGTTGGGTCACTGAATATCGGACAGTTTACCAATCCTCATCAAAGTCAAGGACAAAAACTGGCATAAATTGATTGCACGCCATGGACTAGCCCATGCAGCAGTGGTCTCATTCCGTTTCTTGTACCTACTCTTACCAATTTATTTCTGTAATAACGTTGTCTGTGTTGTATGATAATCAAAATAGCCATAGTACGTGGGTAAATCACGATACGTACTAGCCATGAGGTGTGACTTCGACGTTAGCTGGCTGTTAACTATGTTGATTTTCGTCAATGAATATCTTTAAATACGTATAATTTTTTGGTCTAGTCAGCTGTATCTAAACTTTTGTTCTGCAATACAAATAAGAGCAAACATTGAAGATGTTCTGAGCTAAGAACACAGATTTGTTAGTGGTGACACGTTTACCCTCCGTCATCATATTTTCTTAAGGAATGCCTCCTATTTCGGCGCGTTCATCTTTATTACCTCATTTTTAGGTTGTTTGGGTAGCAATTGTCCAAGCACATGTAATGATCCAACCAATTAATGATTTTTAAGTCAAAAGCTGTCTCTTGCTTGACATTATATATAATATCATAACAACAGTGGTATACTAATTTAGAAAAGTTGCAATATTCAGCCTTCAGTAGGCCTGCGTCTATTAAATTTTAGTGGCTCTATAACTGACTCAATTCGGATCGTATGAATGATTGCTATCGAAATGTACATGTCTTCAATCCTCGTACATAATTATCGACTTGCGTTGGTAAATAACGGGATTAAGTAGATCAAATGTGAGAATGGATTCCAAATACGTGTATTTCATACAATCGTTGATCTAGACAATTGATGGTAGAAACAAAGCGAAATGGCGCGCGATAGGGGAGGCAAAGGAGCCAACTCTATTTAATGAAGCGTGACTTGACATTTATAGTCAAACGAAAATACGTTACAGACATATAATGAACAGGGTAAGTAATTAACGCACATACAATCATATGAAAACAGTCAGGGTAATAAGCCAGTAAGTGACAAGGTTAAAAAGTGTCTTGAGAAGAATGAATAGATTAGTCTGTTCAGAAACTAGAATAGCCTATGTGTGCAGCAGTGTATTTGTGAGCGATAACCAATGGGTCATGTTGTGTGTTCACAAACCGGAACGGGAGGTCAAAGGTTATTTTTTTAAACAACATGTCATTTAAAATCGCAAATTGTAAGAATTTATGAAAAATGAAAATAGTGCCAAAACTAATTACGAGAAAAGTCGACTTTAACTATCCCCCATGAATTAATTATTCTATGGGAGATAGTTAAAGTAGACCAAAGTTTATACCCCAGACTAATGGACATTTCAGGGTTTTTAGTTGAACTTTTCAAGATTCCCTTCAGTATTTCATCAAAACGGGTCAAACATTTCACGAAGTTTGAATATTGTGGAAATTTCCCTCCAAAATTGAGCACGAAATCGCTCCCCAATCTTCTTATTCTGCGAAAACGCTGAGGAATTTCGGGCAAATTTTGGGGGTAAACCTTAAAGTGTTATAAGATATTAGGGACATTTCTTCAACAATAATATTGTAGAAATTTTTCGCCAAAGTCAGGGGAAATTTTGAGGAAAAACGCAAAAAATTTCCCCAAAGTTTTTTCAGTTTTGGGGTGTTGTTAATGAATATAAGCCCACTTACCCAAAATTGTAATAGGATTATGGGGAAATTTTTGAGAGATATTGGGGAATTTCGGGTTTTTTGTGCCATTTCCTCAAAGTTTACTATGGCGCCGCCGGCTTCCCCAAAATTCGGAGATTGGGAATCCGAAATTTCGCCAAGCCTTTGGGGACGTTCCCAAACTTTGAAGTTACTGCCATTTTCCCAAAGTTTTCTAAAGCGGTTTCCCCAAAACAGACAAAATATTCCACAGAGTAGGGAACCCAACATCGATGTTGGGTTCCTATGGGAAATAGGCTATCCGACTGTAGTCTGACTGATTAGTAAACATATAGGACTCATTTACACCTAGCCGTGGAGGCAACTGACAGAAAACAGAAATAACACTAGCGTGAACTCAAGACAACTAGATAATCACAACTACAAAACTGTACCGTAAGGCTCCAAGTACGTTTGAAAGTAATAATATCACTATAGTAACACATTTTGTGTTCAATATCTATCTAACGGGCCTAACAAACCGTTTGATTTCTTTTTACCAGCGTTTAAATGTTAATAAAAGTCTTCAGTTGCTATAAAATGTTTATAGTAACCTACCCACTTACTAGACTATAATATTCCTGGGAAAGTCTCCAATTATTCGACAGTCAGCAATTTTTTAGTCTTAGTCTATTTGTCCTTAGTCATTGTCTCTCTTACCAGAAGTCGTCACTTTAGTGGTCAGTAGTTAGAATAGCTAAACTGATGGCTTCCAAAACAATAAAAAAACCTAACAGAATAAGAAAGGAGACGAATGACCGCATAACTTTGAATGGATATATGTAAATCATGAGTCAATAAGAGCACAAAAGAGTTTTGGTGATGATCTAGAACACTTAATACGTTGCCATATATGGTCAGGTGGCTTCTCGTTCTACAGCCTAGCTCGATCAAACCCAGAAATTAGTATTCATACAGTTTCTTCTTTGATCCATCTCCACTTCGTTTTGAACTTCCTCAATTTGGTTTAAGCAGATTAGCACAAACACTTCACGAATATTGAATGCTTGACAACGCTATTGTCCATAACACGTTTCCGAATGATGATCCTAAAACTAATCGAACCGTAGGTCAGGAGTGAAGTGGTTCTAGGGAGATGATCGATGTGTTGAAAGTAAGTGAAGCTGACCAGGTCATGCGAAAGATGAACCACACATTATGCCCAGTCGTCGGCTGATCGAGCGTCTTCAGTTAGCAGTGTGTACAGGTGGACTGATGAAGTAAGTATCAATGTCAAAGGCCACGGAACTAGCTATTTCAGGGTTTGCTTGCTGCTACCAGCATCACGCCGTTATCTGTCCTCGGACAAAGTGCAGCGCAGCCTAATTATTGTTTGTATCACTCAGATAGCTACTACTGACGTCGCAGTATCTGTCAGGAGAAGAGCTAGTCTATTTTCTGCTGTATTGTTAGAGAGACGATGATCAGGACGGAAGTGGATAGTTTATGGTTTTAGGGGGTTATTTCAGTTTGCACTCGTCTGTAAGATGAAACTTTCCTCAAATTTCATACCTACATGCTGAATGTTTTCCATATAATTCTGTTCTTTCGGTATCTCCTGATATATCCCCAGATATAAATCTTTTTCTGTCAGTTTGTATATTCCTGCCATGTGCAGCAAATTAAAGACATTAAATACGCGTTTCCAGCATAGAGACTATACAAACGCTGACTGGAAAAACTTTCGATTTCTAATAAAGCACTCTGACTGGAGCAGTTTCTTTACCAGTGATAACCTCTTAGAAACACTAGAAATATTCAATACTACCACCAAATCTTCACTAGACACGCATAATGGAAAAAGTGATACAAACTGAGCTCCCCGATCACATACTTAAGGAAGATCTAATAGACCCGTCACAACACGGCTTCATCAGAACAAGGTCATGCAGTACATATCTGATAGACTTCCTTGACGACGTTACTCGCATACGTGACCAGAAGATACTAGTGGTTATACCATATTTCGATATTAAGAAAACCTTTGATAAAGTACCTCATAATCTTCTAATCAACATACTTAAGTCAGTTGGAATTATAAATACCCTTTTGCGATGGACCAATTCTTTTCTTAAGAACAGATACCAAATAACCAAGATTAACTCTAAAACATCTACACCTCGACCAATAACCAGTGGTGTTGTACAGAGTGCTGTCTTGGGTTCATTGCTCTCTATAATCTACATCAACAATATATGCAAGTGCTTTCGCACAGGTAAGACCTATCTCTATGCCGATGACTTAAAAGTCATCTATAAAACTGACATTTGCGATGTACGTAGTACTATGCAAACAATCCAGCACGAACTCAAAATCTTAGACGACTGGTGCAAACGCTGGAGGTCAGAGCTCAACACAGGAAAATGCGGCTGGTTATGTATAGGAGACACGTTTATCAAAATAAAACCAACACTTAACCATGACACCCTGCCCAGACTGGCAACAATAACTGACCTAGGGGTACATTACTCACACAGTCTTAATTTCTCCGAACTCATCTCAGCCAAAGCATCTGAAATGCGGAAATCGCTTGGCTTCATTCTCTGTAATTTCTATCAAAATGAATCTAAAATCCTTCTTTATAAAGTTTGTGTAAGATCTATCGTTGAATACTGCTCGTTCTTATTTTCCAACCTACGCCTATCTGATATACTAAAGGTGGAAGGAATACAACGAGACTTTACCCGCAAAGTACTTAAGACTGACTCGGTCATTGACTACAGTTCCCGATGCCAAATCTTAGGAATAGCACCCTTTTGGGAGAGAAGGCTTATGTCTAATTTGATTCTCTACCTCAAACTACTCAAAAACCTTACTTATTCAACATGTAAGATAATTCTTGCCCGAGATTCACATGAATACGGACTTCGAAACAAAGTATCTACGGTCAAAGTTGAGAAATACAGATCAAAAACTCGGGAAAACTTCCTCATCTATTATGCAATGATATGGAACAGTCTTCCCTCCGAAATACACGTGATAGATGAATTACATCCGTTTGTAAAATGGCTTGGTCAAACCCTCACATGCACTGATCTAGCACGTACGAACAATATCTGCGCCCCACTCAGACATCATATGCTCTCTTCATGTCTAGACCGAAATGGACTCCAAGTTCAGTTTGCCTTATTTTTCGTACTTTGCAGCTGTGTTAGTTACTTTTTCCATCCAATTTCTTCACTTGAAATAGACAGGCAACTCACTGGACCTATCGATACTGTTCAACTAAACTCGGTCACTAAGGGACACTCACTACCACCCTAAAAAGTCAAGAGAACCGCACAATCGACTGCCTACTACCAATGATCTTGCATCTATGGAGCCTGTTACCCATCAACTGGTTAGGACAACACAAAATAACATCAGCACCAAGTTAATGTGGGTTTCTACCTGTTCATCCTGTATTAGCTTTTTACTCTTCTGTACACTATATTGACTAGCTATTATTATTATTTTTCACTCGTAACCTTATCTACAACACATATACTTTTATACTTTTCCGCCTGCTTAAATAAACAACTATCCTACATTATACCCTTCTTAATGCTTATACTCTGACAAACTATACTTTATACTATAGTCAACAGAAGCACTGCGTCGATGCCTTACCCACAGTCAATAACTTGTGACTGCCTGATAAGCTTAAATGGTGTAGTGGCATTGGACAATAGCCACACAATCCACAAAGCTGTGATACTTATAGAAATAGTGTTTTCCAACAGGTTGTGAAACACAGAGGATTGTGTGAGGTATGACATATATCCAAAAATAAGCTTGAATGAGCCTAGCATCACAAAATGAGGGAGGGTGGAATTACTGACCAGCAAGAAATGATGGTGAGAGCGATGACTTCAATCCACCCATATTTGTGGGGCAGAATATTTTGTTTGTATCAAGTTCGTTGTGATTAAGAACGAGATATTCATTCAGTGATATTGAGGTTGTTCCGCGACGCTCGGTATTCACTGTCACGTTCCCAATTTCATGCCGGATTAGCTATTGTACTAAGACAACCTATAACATGCTAACTCGGACTATTACACTAGGATTGTGTGGCTGGCATTGGATGCACAAAGGAGAAACGAAAAAAATTAGACAGTAAAAGATATAGTTATTAGTATTCTTAACACTTCACCCTCAATATGCACACTTCTTCTAATAAACAGCTTTCCTTGTACAAATCTTGACTTCCCTTACTTCATGTGAGCTTACTCCAACATATTTAACACCACAACTCATTGTTCTTTATTACTAGTTTCTCTGATATGGAGCATCTGACTTCGTTTCACTCTAACAAGAGATAATATGAATTTAATCTAATCTATTATACATCTGTCTGTCCTACTACACAATGTTAAGAAACGTTTAGTGTTCATATCCAATTGCCTTGCTGCTCTTCTGTTTCTATTTCTTCTTTTCTTCAGAATCTTGCTCTGAGTGCACAGTTATGGAATTTCAGATGTCTGAAACAAACTTGACGTACGCGTCTCTTCAAGGTCATGGTTTACAGCAAGCGCACTACGAGTCTACTTTGCAACAACTATAAACTTAATAAGTCGGGAAGCATTTTATGAGCCAACAAATGTTGTAATTTGTAGACTATGCCTGTAAAAATGGCGTGTACCTGCTCTTGCAGAAATATATTATTATTCACTAAGATTCTCATCGAGTTTAAATTCAAAAACAAACGACGTTAACAAATCTTGTCAGCAAAAGATTTCGCGATTCACTTTTTTAACCTACTTATTCTATGTGCTGTTTTAAGTCATCGATGCCCTACATCTACAATTTTAGCCTTAAATTAACATTAGTAATGAGGACCTGTTATGACACGAATACCGTTATGCTGTCAATATACGTATATACGAAACTTACAAAAAGATTAGCATTTGGATTTGATAAAAGGCGTTCACCGTCGAGCTGTTCCGTATTGAGACAAGACCGCAGTCTAGTAACTCCTGATTATTGGCTTACTATCTGATGTCGTCCCCTCGACCGTTGCTGCTACATTGACGTGGTGGTCGGGCTTGCCTGTCGCGATGAACCAATCGAGCTATACTGGCCGGAATAATCACTCCTCATGGTCCTACTTTGCCAGACAGGTCGGCTGAAGAACGGTAAGACTAAAAGCAGCAAGGTCCGATGGCGAAGTCGTACTGCTGACTGTGCAGGTGTGATGGCAGTAAGGTATTTCCTTCGGAGAACCCGCATAACAGCAATGCTGCCTTCCCACAAGGAGGGATGGGGTTATAAAAGGTCCACCCTAAAATGCACACCTTGCCTTATCCCACGGATATCTGTCTCCGGCGGTAAGGTCTCAACCAGTACGAAGCTGACACGAAAATCACTTACAAAAACGTCGTGTGTGACCGACCACAAGCAGTTGTCTCTTGGGCACTGCGGTCAAGCGCTCAGGTCACTAAGACCACCTTTAATCCAAATGATG